TAATAATAATATATATAATATAATATATATATATATATATATATATATATATATATATATATCGAAAGGTATAGAGAAAAAGTGGCATATTATAAATTGTATTCTAAAATCTGATGCGAATTACAAATATGACTTAAAGTAAATTTTAATTATTGATTTAATAATATTTATTGGAAAAGTTGTGTATTTATTGCAATTAAATTCGCTTTCGTCGGGAAATGAGATTCAGCCTCATCTTATTTCTCACGATAAGGCGAAACGGGGTCATTGGAAAGGAGTATTACGGATCAGTGATTTGGGCAGTCAGAGGTTTCGGGAACGGAAGGAAAATGCGGATTTTGATGAGTAATACAGAAGCTGCATTAATCAGACGAATAGAAGTAAATGTAACAAACCGTAACGTTCGTAAATAAATAACGTTTATATTTTGCGTTTATATAATTTACATTTATATATTTAATACGTATTATATATTTAATACGTATACATACATTATGTGTTCATGATAATGATCAAGAATTATATATAATATGGAAAAAAAGGATTAAATATTATTTTATTTTGTTGTGATTATAAGAAAAGTAATAATCAATGGTAAAATAAAAAAACCGTATGTAACAACCTGAGGAAATCGGATTTAAATGTAGAGGATAACAAATGCAGCAAAAAGATATATGAATTCTTTTATTCATATTTATTAAATAATTGAATATTGATCCATAATTATATTGAGTATAGCACAGCGATTTTTTTATAGATTAACATCAAGAAATAAAAAAATTTGTTGATCTTAGTTACTTAAGTTATACGAGTCATAGGAAATTGATAATAAAAAAGTGACATAAGGGCAACATATATAAAATTTAATTTTAGATAAGGAACAAACAATTTTTCATTGTGATTAATTGCACAGTGAAAGAAGGTAGGTGAAAGAAGCTAGGAAATTCTAAAAAATTCTGTCTATAATATACAATGGGAAAAAAACGACAGAGTGTAGAAAGTATGAAAGAGATAAAGCTGTGTCATCGCGCCGCATTGTCCGCAGAGTCATCTCGTTGGCAGAAAACGATATCTAACAATAGAAACACGTCGGGTGATTAGTAGCTCGACTTAGAACGAAGGGGTGGTTTGATCGTGAGTGAAATTTCTTCGGGTTTAAGGCGCCTAGAGGCGTTCGTGCGCCGCTAATTAGTCGACAATTGTAACCGAGGTAGCTTTAACAAACGTGTACTTCCTCTCCCTACACGCGACCGACGGTAATCCCTCTGTCCGTGAAAACGCCTGCGTTAATTAGCGCGTTCGCTCGCGCACGCGCGCGTCTTTGTGTTAACTACGTCGGCTAATTGCACACGGAGCCGAGCCGAGCTGTATTGTTGAGCTAGATCCCGGCAAATAGCGGGAAAGGCTCGCGTATATAAAATGCTTTGCGGATTCAGACTGGAAATGCATATAAAATGCCTGGTGAAACCGAGATTTTTCCAGAACGTAAATGCGTTATCGTGCTATCGCCCCATAATTACGCGGCGACACGATTAATTGGGACAGACGGTCGGAGATATTGCCGGCGTGGCCGTCCGGAACCCATTCAGTTTTCGAGAAGAATATCGCGTAACGGACTATCCGTACGTCGACGTATTATCGTTTGTCCGACGGGTAAGAGGAGGCGGGAGGGGGGGGGGAAGGGGAGACGAGGGCGAGAGGCCCCGCGCGATCGCCACGCTCCGAAAACTTGTAAGTTAGTCCGATTGTGCGCGATGATATGCATAACGGAACATAAATCGTAAAATCCAATTTGAATTCGGAACCGCGCCGGCATACGATTAACGTGATACGTCCACCGAGACCTCCTGAGTCCCTCCCTGATAATGTCGGCAGCGGGAGGACCGTCTCATTTCGGATGCGTCCGTTGCCCCGGAGATACACGCGCCTCCGGATGATTAGCCCCCGATTGGTCCCCGAGGGGGGAGGGGGGGCTCACCACGCCACGGTGACTTAGAAAAGATTCCTTTACTTTCCCCTTTCCTCCCCATCCCACCTCCCCCCTCCCTCCCTTTCTCCCGACTACGTACTGATAAATGCCCGAAATTACCGGTTAGACTGGTATCGGGCCCGTTAATTGCCGCTCGTTATAAGGGCAACGTGCGCGCAGGAGATATAAAAGAAGGATTTCTTTAACAGCGCGGCGAGATCGCGACGCAACATACCGCTAACGGCGCACACCCTTACCTACCCCTCACCTATACACGGCACCTATCCGCGCCCCGGCATACTTTCGACACGGCGGGATGAGTAATAGCGAGTCTGCATAATAACACACCGTATGCTAGTATGCTGGGACACAATCGCGTCGGTTCTCTTATTTTTCTCGTAAAGCCACGCAACGACTATCGAAATGGGTCCCGTGGTAGCAACCGTGAACCGCCGTCGTTTTAGGGACGGCGAAAACGGCGTCCGGCGCGTTACGCTCGTCCCTAATTAACCGGTACCGGTGTGTATCGGCGCGAGATTGCCGGTACACTTACCGGCAGCTTTATTGCCGATTCCGACGGGAAGAAAGAAAGGTTTCGGCTGGTACCGAAACCCCCGAAATCGTCTTGTTGTCAGCTCGAGACAATACTCACGTTTCTGGGTTTATGGACGAGGGACGTTTTTAAAAAAACTCAGTGAGCTTAACGACGGCTCCGAGCACATTTTGTTTCGAAGTCTACCGCGTCA